GATGCATTTTCTGACTGCTACACCATGCAAAGAGAAAAGGACCGTTTTGAGAAGACTGCACAAGACCTCTGCCACCTCCTTGTACAGACACCATGTCTGCTTTCATTCTTAAAGGCCAGAGCTTGAGAAAGAATAATGAAAACAAGATTCAGCTGCAATATTTGCTCTCTTAGGCAGCACATCTCAAAGAGAAAAAAGATATCACAAGTCTCCCTGAAATGATAATAAAAAAGCAAACAAGAAATCACCATTTCCAATCTCTAATCTCTTAACCATATGCAAAACTCTCATTGGAGGTAGACGATAGAACGCTGCCTACAGATTCAGATCACAGTGCTATTTCCTGGACACTGCTGGCACGTAGGCTGACAGCCCCTTGTTCAGGCAGCACTCTGTCTAAATGAATGATGTTTACTCTTTTCATTTGCACAATGAAGAGCTGAAGCAGAGAAAAATGAATGACATGCCCAAGAACCATCTACACCTTCTATCATCCCCATCATTGCAGTATCCAAGTATCTTTTGCTAATACATTGACCAGACCATGAGACAGAAATAGTACATCACACACAAAGTCTGTCTCGGAGCCTGGACACTGGACCCAGATGATCTGGATGCAGGCTCAGCCCTCCCACCTTACCCTGAGGATACCTTCCTCTCAACAGATCTCCTGCTATGTGAAAACGCATTGGCCCTGGATAGTGAGACACTGGATTCAGGGAATTTACTCCTAGAGAGCTTCACGATAGGATTGACATTTCCTATCATTAAGAAAAAGTAGCCACAGCAATGGAAAAAAGTGTTTCTTTAAGTGACAGGACTGATATTTTTGTCATTTGAAACTCTCTCATTGCTAGGATTTTGAAGTGCTGATATTTTATCGTCAAATTGGAATCCTGCTAGTAAGTATCAATAACATGAGAAACTCACCAGAGAAACAGTGACCCCATTATATGTGAAAGAGCATTGCTATTTTAGCTGAAGAATTATAGGCTTTCACAGACTTGTAATGCATTGCAGGAGTTCCTCTTTGATTTTTTTTCTTGAGAAACCCCATGCAGATTCCTCTGTGAAGCTCTGCTGCAGGATGGGAGATACTGGATGAGCCCAGGAAAAGCTGCAGAGCCAGTTTCAGCTTCCCCACAGGCTGATAATCCATAATCACATCTACAATTGCTCAAGACTGCAGATGAAATCATGGCTCCAGCAAATTCTGTGACTAAGTTTTCATGACTTTCAAGGCTTTCCTTGGAAGCTTTGGCTCTATGGAACAGTTGATCTAGTTGTCAAGTATCTACTACTAGATTAAAAATGTCAAAGCCATATGACAACAAAACTGCACTGTGACAAACAAACCTGATACTTCATGTGAATTCAGGGCATCGGTGTGTTCCAGGAGAGTTTCTGATGAGTTTAGTGCTGTCTGTCCTCTATAACAAGCATAAACAGCAGAGGATGCTTTCAGGCACTCACAGCGCAACAGAGGTGACATTGTGTGTCTCATTCACATTAAACACATACTGCCTAGCGAAATGGTTTTTAATGTTCATGAAACTGTGCTTTTATCGCTAGGAAGTTGTAAGACCACCAATGGAAGAGGGCTGAACAATTCAGCTTTGTCCTGAGGCACAGATGCAGATCCATGCCATTCCTCTACAGAACAGCTGCATCCCAGCAAAGTCTTTTTAAAACTGCCACATTGCATAGTCAGTCAACTTAAAGTTGATTTTTGTTCTTTGTCTTTGATTTCCCCTCTGACTTTGTCTTGCTGGTGCCTCAGCATTACAGGAACCTATTTCATTATGACTGTCTTGGGCTATAATTCACTGTCGGTTCTGCTACAACATCACTGAACTCAACTACCAAATAGCCTTATTAGTACAAGCTGACTTCAGAGTCCACTGTTATTCTTATGCTTGTCTGCACTGCCAACAACATTTGACACATCTTTTCTTGTTGTATAGGACTGAATCAGGACAAAACAAGATGGGAATAATAAACCCAGAGTGTGATAAACCTCGGTAGATGGTAGTCTACAGAACAGTGTAACTGAAAAATGTAATGCCTCGACAGCAATTGTCTATGAAATACTGTGTGACACTCGGTACTGCTGGTTGGTACCAAAGCGAAACTGCATCTGTATAACTGCTTCCTGAAAAGGATCTTGGAATTCCTTCTGCAGTCACACGAGTAATGGAAATTTATGCAATGTCAAAAGGATTCAGAGAGATGGAGAAAGCACCAAATGAATAACTCCATGCAAGCCGAAGAGCAGACTCCAGCTCTAGTTAAGAGTCACAGAGGAGGACAGGACTGAAGGTGAGAAGGGACAAAAATCAAGTCAGAGCTAGAGTATATTGAGGAGGATGTAAAGACCAAATCCTGCCTGTGCTTATGCCCACGAAAGCCTGCAGAAATAAGAGGTCTGCATTAGTCCAAGATGGGCTATCAGATTTGCAAACAGATCAGATGCAGTACATAGAGATATCCCTCAGACTCACAGCAGGACTGCCAGAAAAAGAGATGCAAGAGATGTGATGAGAAAATACAAATACCAGAATAAGGCAAGCATGTCCAGGCATCATTGCCAAGCTAAGCAGGTATGTTACAGAGTATACCTATACTTCATCTGGCTTCAAATTGCTCCTTTTGCAGGCAATAAAATTACTGCACAAATCCCAGAGAATAAACCGAGTTAACACCCCATTAAATACAACAGACTTGCAATTGAAGGTAAGGACGTGCCCAGATTAAGCTACCCCTCTACAAACTGGCCCATGGGTAATATACATCAGTTCTACTGACATATGGTCTAAAAAAGGAAAAGAAAAGAAAAAAACCTGAGATGCCTGGGTGCTTGGGAATGAATTCCATTAGGAGGAATTTCTACAAGGTAAGAAAGGAGATGTTCTTTGAAGCATGCTTAAACAGCACAATATATTCTTCCATAAACATTCTTTCTACAATTGAACATATCCCAAGGGAAAAAGCCAGGAATTTGTTATTTTGTGTATTTGCTTTTATCAATAACATCATCTTCTCCCCTGCCCGCTCCCCATCCCAGATGAAACAGTCTTTGATTTTATACCTTCAGTTTGTTTTATCAGTATCTGGCTTGCAAATGGGTACCAGAGAGAATGGCAGTTGCTGAGTTGATTTGTTGCGCCCCCATTTCACAGAAGACAAGATAATTTTAAACGCTTACTTCCATAGTTCTGCCTTTCCTGAACATTTCAATTGCAGTAGTTGTAGGCACCCTCCAAATTCACTGCCTCTCCAGTGACATCCATTGAAAAACAACGTTCTCCATAGGAAAAATCTTTGTTGGCGGACGCACTTGGTCAATTTTAAGCCCAAGCAGCTTAGCACAAGGAAAGAGGGCAAGAGAGGGAAAGGCAGGCAGGACAGGAAAACACACAGGTAAGGGCAACAGCATGGAATAGGGAGTTGGATTTAGATTGTCATCTATTTACTGACAACTTCAGACGCTGAAAAGAGGATGGTTCTCTATAGCCTGTGCTCCAACATCATTTCAGTGTACAGTTTCATGAAATAATGAGCCAAAATGTACATAAGATACATCCAGAAAGGACTTCCTGCTTCTCCCTTCTTTCCTCTGATCCTCTGCTTATTTAGTACAAAGCTGGTGCTTGCCAGACCTCTACATGATTCACAGAATACCCAAAACTTTCATCAAGAAGAAAAGCTGGGCAGCTTTCTACCACTTCAATGAGTTCATGAAGCTCAGAGTTGGGCAGGGGTGCTTTGGCTGGAGTAAGATCATAGTAAAGCAGCTACCACCATGCTGCATATGCTCTAGCTCCAGAAAGCTGGCAGTGTTGTTGGTGTGTGAGGCTGTTGCAGGCTCCCAGAATGAAAACCAGCCCTGCAAAGACACAGTGCTATGTAAATACCAACAGTTGCAAAGCTTCCATTACATGGATTTATGTATTACAGCTCCTGCTAGTTAGGAAGCTAGAGAAGTCAGCTGTGCTGATTTGATGTATCAGCCAACACACAGAAGCAGCTTCAGCCAACTAGAAACCTTTATCACAGCCATTCCTTGCTGTCAGAATGACAAGTTCAAAGACATGCAAACTGAGTTCATGTTTTATTTGCCCTAGCAGCATTTCCTTGTAACACAATACTTGCTGTACCACTTTCACCCCGACCAGCCCTCACAGCACAGCAGAAGGAAAATGCATCTGCATGAAACAAAGAAATGAAATAATAATTAAAAAACCCACCACAAAACCCCAGGAAACCACCATCTGCCTGCAACAAAGCCAGGAACTAAGTTTCCACACGCAGAAGCTCTCTGGCTTTGGCTCCCACAACAGGCTTTTTCATTCTCATTTTGAGATACCAAGATTTATCATTAGAGGGCACTGCTTCCTCCAGTAGAAAATGGGTTCTTTGCCTTCCGTGGATAAAGATTCCAGACATCTGCAAATGAACATTTACTGCGTAACTGAGAAGTCCTGAAACTAGAGTGCAGCTGGAATTCCATATTCACATTTCCTACTTTTAATACGCAAAAGCACTTCAAAAACATACTGAATTTACAGGTCTGAATCCAAACTTACGGAGGTTAAAGCCTCAACCACTTACGCACTGGCAGCAGGCGAACATTAACCTCAAGAATAAATGCAAATTCTACTGCTCTATCCTCTCACTTCTGCTGTCCTTAACCTACAAAGTCCCTCAACTGATTTGGGAAGGAACGAGGGTAGAATGTAATTCTTACCTTTAGCAGAAAAACTAAACTGTAAACTGAATTTGACTCCGTGCATTTACATGTGTCAGAGCCACTCATTGTTAGTAAGCAGAACAAAGTGACCTTCTCCCCTTCTGCATCTCAAGCTCACAGCATCTGCTCGAAAGCCAGTATACAGCTACAGTTCTAAAGGAGCAGATGCTCTGCTTCTGCACAAGTATTTAAGGGAACAAAAGGCTTCTGAGGACAAAATGAACACTCTCCATAATCCATAGTTACATACCAGAAAAAGAGCATGTGCACTGTTGCTCCAGCGCATATACAGCATTCATGCTCAAAGTGCCACAGGCCTTTCTAGGAAAGGCATTAGATGAATTTTCCAGAGCTTTTCACTCTCCTGGCTGCAGCCATCCTGCTGGCTTACAGCAGATGAACTTCCTGCATCTCTTGCCTTAGCCCAAACTGTTTACTTCTCTTCCTCCAATATTAAAGAAACAGAAACAACTTGGGCAGGAATTTGAAGTGTCATAGAGGAAAAGAAACTTCCTCAGAGAAGAATGAGGATACTATTGCAGTTGTTGACATCCATTTTGAGGGATGAGGAGTTGAAGCAGTATGTTTATAGGCTGAGAGCTTCAGCTTGGGATTTCTCTGCAAGTGGCTTAAGCAAAGTGAGGGAATAAAGTGAGGGAATTCACTTCTGGCTAATCCTGGAACAGATTTAATAAAACTGAAACTGCCGATATGAGATAGAAATTCCATGGCACTACTACTCCAGAATGAAAACTAGACCTCTTCCTGCTTCCCACACAGCCAGGTATTCAGTTCACGTATAGTTCCTCTCAATTCACGGAAGCCAGATGGATATCTAGCAGCAAAGGAGCTGAACAGGCAAAACTCCTTACACCTAAGTATACAGAATCCAAATTTACAAACAAAAAGATCGGAGGGGCTTCAGTAGAGAGACATACTTGTAGGGAAAAGTGAGATATGCCTTCCACCTTCCAGGGCATGCGTGACCAAAGCTACAAACCTTTAAACAGTAGAATCCAACAACCTCAGGAGACAAGCCATTTCATCAACAGGAAAAGAGAAACCAAAGGATCTTCGAATCCACTTCTTAGAATAACTTGAATCAATAAAATACACACCATTATGATTTCATCTGATTTTTCAACCACACTGTACCAGCATAAGCACAGGGACACCTCCATGGCCAGGGTGAATCAGCACCAGAGACCTGTTGCCAGGCCTGAGCAGACAAGCACATAAAGAATGCATTCTAACAAATTGTTTTAATATTGATGCTTATGATACTCAAACACATACACATCAGTACATCTGGAGGAGGATCCTGCTCACATTCTTCATCATTCAAATCAAAAATGCAAATAAAATCTGGATAGTTTAACATAAACACTGATTTCCAAAGCTACAGAACTGTCTGAACACCGCATAGTGGCTACACATAGACACAGACACAACAAACCTGTGTTGTATTTGTGCTCACACTGGGGTTAAGTGGAAGTCAAAGATAGAAAATGAGCAAACAGTAGATCATTCATCCTATCTCCCACCCAACATAGCTGAAGTGAAGCTCACACAGGAGCCATAGTTCAGTGATACCTGCTATTGGCATCACACCTCTCTTTAAGGTCTTTCTCTGTGTTAAGAGTAGGAAGCTGTATGTTTTCATGTCCTCCAAAACTGTGCTTAGAGATCTCCTACCTACATTTGTTTGTCACTATTTTGGTTCAAACATTCAAAAGCTGAATTGCACAGGTCTCCATTTGCTATGCACTAATTTATTTGCACTAATAATACAGACTTCAGCTTCACAAGCCTTCAGCCAGGTTTCAACCTACAGACCTATATAAACTCCCATTTCTGTAACTTCAGAAACACAAGCCATCAGTGTGTGCACATTAAATGATAAAATACCCAAACCCCCACAGCATAAGAATTACAGGTTTATTAACACAACCCATAAATCAGTTTCTGTTCTTCCTTGCATTATGTAACAGATGTGGATACTTCACCACACACAGAACTGGTACCATACATACAAAATCCAAAGATTGTGCAATGAAGATGGAAAATCATGAATATATTAAGAAAGACAAAGTTTAAAAAGTAAAAAAGACCCAAAACCTCAATATTATGGGAAAGAAACTGCTCATGGTTCACAAGCAACAAGTTCTATGGTAGAAGTAGAGGACAGGCCCCAGAGTACTCCTGACTTGAAGGATACAATGAACTGAGGCAAAAAGACAAAAAAAGACCTAATTTCAGATTCCAAATACATTATCAACAGGAACCTGCCTGAGGAAAGAGGAAGTGATCCCTTCCTCTTAAAAGAGCCCTCAAACCCCCCTAACTTCCCTTAAATGCTGATTAATCATCAGTCCAATTGACCAGCAGCAGAGTAAACAGGGGGGAACTAACAGGAAAAACCAGCGGAAATATTACACTACACTGCCTTCAATTGAGCGTGATGGATCACCATCTGCTCCTGATGCCATGTACAGCACCACGGCTTCGGAAGGAGCTAGAGCTCTGTCTGATAATGAACTTACTGCTGCTTTGCTCTTACTTTTTCCTCCAGGGAAACACCTGCTTTGCTGTTACCTTCTCCAACTCTTGACTAGCCACGGCAGCTATTCTCCTATGGGGGATTTCCCAAGATTCCTTCTGGGTTTTATACTTCCATCATTTCGTAATTGGTGTTTTACAAAATCTCCAAAGCACTCCAAAGTAAATCCAAATATGCAGTCAGGATCTGAACCAAGTCTGTTGCTATACAGAAAGAGAAGGCATTAATATGGCAACCAAAATAATGAGATGGAACATAAAGTACCACAAAGACATGGTTGCTTACAGCACTGCGACCTTAATAAAGAGCACCAGTGCAGGCAGAAGTCATCCGAACTCCTCCCCAGAGGATCTACAGCAAAGCAGAGGTTTCACGAGGCTACAGTTTGACTCCATACTCAGCAACCAGAAGGGAAGATGCATGATAAAAACCCAGCCAGGAAAAGCAAAACCAAGTCAGGGGGAATGAATATGATACAGAAGGTTCTTATAGGAAGAGAAAATAAATATGGTGGTGGGAAATGAGGGAGGACAAAGAAAGGCAAAGATGTCTAAAAAGGGCTGAGGGAAGGAGAGTCACTCATGACAGTTTTAAAGCTACTCGAGTTGGGGAACAAAGATGACAGGAAGTGCCCAGATAACAATTAGCTATAACCACTGATCTATGACATTTTCATCACTATAAATAATAACTACTTCCTTTAGCTTGTTCAGAGGGAGGGACCTTCGGATGGAGGGGGGAAAAGGGCACGCTACTTCCTTTCAAAGATTAACATGGAATTGCCAAAATCTCTCAGACAGAAGAGCAACACTACTAATAATTCTTTCACGAAAATGCAGTTAAAATTGAATCAGAATGGATTCAATGTTGAACAATTTTAATGAAGCAAGTGTCAAACAAGCACATCAACTTCTTAAAAACAAAGAACTCCAAAGTTTAATTACAAAAACATTGTACAGAAAACTTGGCATCTCAACAATTACAAACACATTAGTCCAGCAAATGGATTCTGGTTTCATATACTGCTCTTACCACTGTTTTAAGTGACAACAGCATTTTATTCCACTCTCCTCCTTGATACCCACTTTATATTTTACCTTTTATAATCAGCCAACACTGACAAATGTAAACTGAAGTGACACTCAGAAAACACTGGAAAGACAAAAATCCATTTTTATAGGGTTAATCTATGTAAATAAGAAGCTTTTTAATGAGACGAAACATCATCTGTCACATCATCGGTGAGCAAGAACTTAAGTCTTCCCCCCAGATGCTTTAAGACAGGTATCACCTCCCCTCCTTCCTGGTGGAAAAACCTAAGAGATTTGTCAGCTCCCAGGTAATACTATCGCCTTAAATTTCCTATCCCATAACACTTGCATGCTACTCAGCACAATGATCCATTAGCAGTATGCCACAAGCTGATAGCTGCATTGAATTTATGTAAGCAGGGGCAGCCTGCAGCCACCCGTATCTTATTTACAGTATGTGTATGTCACAGCCTGGAATTGCATCCTACTATCATATTACATAGCTATTTCTGGAGTCTTTATGGCATACAACTCCAAGTATTAGGTAAGATGCCACAAAGTGAGCTTCAGAATTCTGTAAATCATCTTTTGGCTACACAGTGCATTTTGGCTGCTTCAACAGAAGTCAAATATCACCAACTCTGGAGAACAAGGTACACACAGGAGATGATGAAGGTTGTTGGTGCTTCTTCTGGAGACATTAACAACCAGTAGGATTCTTTTCCCCCACACAGGATTTGTTACAGAGTCCACTAAAAACATTCACATCAACACCTGCTTTCTCATTCATGCTAAAGAAAGGGGAGGTCAATGCAGCAAATTGAGGTTCCTTTTGTGAAGTCTTGAAAATGAGACTGAAGACAAGAGAAAGGAGTTTCCTCCCTGAAGGAAGACTTGAATTTACAGGGAAGTCCTTGCTGCCTGGCTACAGCAATAAACCCATAAGCAAGCAGAGACCTGACACACAAGCTGTTGACCTGGAGATGGCTTCAGACAAGCACAAAGTCCATGGGTAGAGTGTGGGAAAAGAAGAAATTGCTTTTTAATTTTCAGATACTTGTGTTACAGATACATTAAAGTGACGCTGACTGTGACGCACTCTAGTAATGAAAGCAACCTCCAATTCACAACAGGGGATCTTAAAGGTTTCTTGAGGAGGGGCAAGGAGACTGTCATGTGGAAGAAAGAGCATTTCAACCACCACCATAAAGCCCAGGGATGTCCAACAAGTGCTCAGCCAAAGCCCGAATTAACAATTTGACAGGAACTAGGGGACAGCAAATGATTTGTGTAAGTTAGTGCAGACAGTGGGTGCCTTCGTCTTTGACAGGAGGTGCAGCACAGCTCAGCAAGATTACAGACTGCAGCATGCAGAGTTCTACCTGATGTCAGTGAAAGGCCATTTAGGTCACACTGGAACATAATACACTGAATGCTATAGGCTCCACAGGCTCTACTTTATCTGTACAAAAGGTGAAAGCACTTACAGGCTGTAATGTAGAATTCTGAGGGCTGCTATGTGGACCTAGCTGCTAATAACCTTCTCTGCTCTAATAATTCATGCAAAAATACGTGTGCTGCTCCCAGGCGTATTGTGTCCCAGCACTGCGATTTCGGGAAAAACATCCAGCAATCCCTCTGCCCATTTCTCTTTTTATAGAATACCACTCTCACCATGAGGTCATTCTCTCAAAAACAAGGCAGTAACATTAAATTAGACTGAGCAACGCATCACAGCAAGGGCAAGCTTTGTGGTTTTAGTCTAAAATGGAGGTTCTTATTTTTCCTGCTGAGAACTAGTAATGTTTCACTTGCTATCTTGATTACCACTGACCTCTGTGGTAGCAAAATGCACCACCAAAAGTACTGAAGAGATAACAGGAGACCTTCACAGAAGAGCAGGATGCTTATGTGCAAGAGAGGTGACTGAAGAGAAGGGAAAGAGAAGTCGATCTCACAGTCGAATCGAGTCACAAAAGGCATCAACCACAGCTAGCAGGGAGCAGACTCAAGTTGTAGAAGTTGGAGGCTAACACAAAAAAAAACAGGATTCTGCTTTAGAAAAGCTTACATAAACCTAACAGGCAGGGTAGGACATGACAGTGGGCACCAAAGAAGACTGCCTGTTAAAGCAGAGAACACAAGTGCTGCTGTCCAGTACTGCAAGTAGCAAGTAACAAGATCAAAAGAAGGAAAGTAAAGAGGAGGAAGGTAATCCCACAAGATAAACATGAAAAAAGGAAAGACACCAGAAGACATTAGGCAATATAACACATCAAAGTTATTACTACAACACACAGGCTGACTTCATTTCACCAACTGTGAGATTCCATCTCTGTAGCCAGCCAGTCCACAAACGTATGCACCCTCACACCCAGCAAAAGGAGTAAGAAACTGGAGATTGCACAAAAGTTGCATGCCTTTAAATGCTTCCACAGAGGACAGTTCCAAACGTTTACTGGGTGGCATCCGTGGCTTCTTAAGACCTTTTAACGCATTGAGATCTGTGTCTCACTGACAAACCACAAAGGCAGGGACACGGACAAACCTGCAGCTCTGCCTCCCACCCCATCTCTTTCCCTCATGGCTTCTTATTCCACACTGGCCAAAAAAAAATTTTGTAAAGCATCCCATGGGCATGAGACCTGCAGATGAAACAGAAAAATAAGTGTTAGAAGCCCTCAATCTGCCAGGACTAAACAGGCATTGTGACATTAGTTTTTAGATGATTTATCGGCAAACACAACATGAAGCAGCACAGCAAAGAAGCTACAGAGACAGAAGTGTAACTTTCTCTTCTGCCCTATATAGTGTTTGCACAAAGAAGTTCTCATCCCCATGCAGTACAGGAAACCAAAACCATTCACTGGTATAGTCAAGTAGGCAAGAAATGTACTAAGTACATTAGGACAATGTACTATGCCACCAAAACCCACCCACTTCTGTGACCTACAGGGGTTTTCAAGAGTATCATAATAAATATTTTGCTATGAAATTGATTTGAAACATGTCTCAACC